ATAAAACGCCCCCCTGGTCACGGCCGACACATGATCTTCCAGTGTCAGCCGTGGATCCAGGAGGACACCCAAGTTGCGCGCCCTCTCTGAGGGGGCCAAAATTTCGCCCCCTATAGACAGCGATGGGGTCAGCTGACTATGCCGAGGCGCCGGCAACCACAGCCACTCGGTCTTGGAAGGGTTGAGTCTGAGTCTGTTCTCTCTTTCTCCTTCTCTCTGAGGACAGCTGATGTCATGGCACTGGAATCTGATGTCACCCTTGAAGGATACAATACGCCCAATGAGACGGAGAAACCCATTATGGCTCACCCCCCTGACGTCTACAGTGACAATACGCTTCAGAATTGGCTGGCGACAGTGCTCAGGTTATCCGATAAAGGTATAATAATTACAAAAGAGACATCCATTGTAATGCATGGGGAAGAGAAATAAAGCTTTCTCAAGAATTTCTTGTTCTTCCCAATAGTGATCAAGCTGGATTTCAAAAACATCAAGACAGTGGGACCATCTCTGGATATCTTAGTAAACACATCTTCTGGGCTGAATATCGACCGACCTATTTGGCTAAATGCAGATATTCTGAAAGGCCCAAATGTTCCTATTGATATTGCAGTTAATGCAAGCCGGTAAGTAAAATGAACTTCTCTTATATTTATGTAAAAAGTATATTTTACATACTTATTTCCAAGGACCACAGAAAGCCGCTTGAAGCCAAGACAAACTACTGGTTCATTGACCTCAATTCTGTCTACAGTAGCCTTTTTCAGTCTGGTGCCTTTTAGAATCTTTAGCTGGGGATAATAAGAGGCATAATCCAAATATCTGGCACCATGTTAAAAAAAAAAAAGGATGGCTAATATAGCTTTGAATGGCAGTAACGTCTTCAGCATATCATTATATAATGGGATTGAATCTAGGATTCCTTATCCTTGAGCTATGGCGCCTCCTTTCTTGGCACTATATATTAAAGAAAATATTCTTTTATAGAAGGCATTTACTTTTATTGTTGTACCCTTGGCTAAGATAAGAAACAGAATATTGTGTTTAGAGCTGATGAGTAACAAGATAACAAACCTAATCTATGATGAGGTTGTACTAAAGATCTGAGCAAATTAGCAGATTTGATTAGAAGTTTACAGGTGCCAGCATGTACCAGACACTTGGCTGCCACAATCAGAAAGTCACATGAAATTCTCATAAAGCATATGCCAAGTCTGTCTTCCCCAAAGTAAGTTAAGTGTCCCTATATACTGATAGACTTTTCTATAGTGCTTTCTAGATTTTGGCTAGGAAGATGTCAATTCAAGTCCACACCTTGCCAATAGAAAATCACCTGGAGCCAAACTGAGTCTCTGGGTATCAATTTCTACTTCAACGGACATACATCAAATTATATCCAGTTCAGTATGGAGAAGACTTGTAATGGCTTTCTTTTAATGCAGCGGTTCTCAACCTATGGGTCGCGACCCCATTTGGGGTCGATCGACCATTTCACGGGGTCGCCAAGCAAGGCTGTCCGCCATTTTTTCCCCCTTTTCCGGCGGGTGCCTTACCTCCCTTGAGCTGGGCCAGCTGGTGGTCGGCCTGCTCCGTCTCTGCATCTTGCCAGCTACGCCTCAGCCGGCGCAGGGGGTGGAACCACGCATGTGTGGCGCTCCCGGGCAGGGAAAGTCCTCGACTTACGACCGGTTGGGTAGTCCTCGACTTACGATCGGTTTAGTCCTCGACTTATGACCGGTTGGGGGGGTCGCGGCATTAAAAAGGTTGAGAACCACTGTTTTAATGTGTATGGAACTGTGACTATATGGTTGTTACTGATTGCTCCTTAGATTCCTGACTCTCATTCAGGAGAAGTTTCCAAACTGCACTCTTTCCCCAGGATGGACAACCCTCTATTTATCTCACTTTCCAAACAAGACTTATACGCAGAGTATGGTGGAAGAAATGCATTCTCTTGTGGGAAACCTGCCTCAGCAAGTCACCTTCCCTGTAAGAGCTGTCATGGTAAAACCAGCCTGGACTCATCTGAGTTGGCTTCTGAGTCAATCGAAAAGGTGAGAGGTTGACAGCACACCCCTATCTTGATGTACTCAAACCAGCCTCCCTCATTCCTATATGTCATGGGTGTCAAACTCGATTGTGTCACGTGACAAATTGTGATGTATTGCAACATTTTTTTGCCTTTGCGGAGCTGGGGTGGGTGTGGCCTGTGCGTGATGCATCCGGCCCATGGACTGTCAGTTTGACACCGCTGATGTATGTGCTTTATGAGTAATGAAAGAACGGTTCCAAGAATTCTTAGCCAAGGAACCAGGCTGGCTGAGAGTTTTGGAATTGGTGATTCCATCACATCTGTTTTGAGAAGTCTCATTCAGAATTGGTTTCTCCCGGATACTTGGAGAAGAATAAAGAATAAATCAGAATTGGCAGAACAAGTCATTATTGCTTTCTCATCTGCAAGACTGACTGTAGTTTGCTCATTAAATTATGAGAGAGAGAGAGGGGAGAGAGGGGAGAGGGAGAGGGAGAGAGAGAGACAGAGTGAGAGTGAGAGGGAGAGGGAGGGAGGGAGGGAGAGAGAGAGAGAGAGAGAGAGAGAGAGAGAGAGAGAGAGAGAGAGAGAGAGAGAGAGAGAGAGAGAACTATGTAAATTCTGTCTTTGATATCACAGTGTGAGAATCTGTCAAGGCCCAAATATCTTCTTTTCTAGATATAGTTTGACTTTGTGGCAAGGGAAGACTGATCCAGTTACAGTGGAAGATCTCCTGTTTATTCGAAACAACAGCAAACCTGAACAAATCTATTATGACCTTTATGAACCTATTTTGTCTCAATTCAAAAAATTGGCATGTGAGTATAACAATTGCACTTTTTCAAATAGCAAGCTTCAATGTTTCCAACAAGATAAGAGCATCTTGTTAAACAGCACAAACGTATTTGCATTTCAGGTAATCAAATAATATTACTCATTTTCCCTTTTCCAGTCAAACAGTATTATTCATTTTCCCTTTTCCAGTCATTTGATAAAAAAAAAGGTTTGCAGTATATATATATTCCAGGAATCAAATAAGTGTTCCAAAATATTATTTTTTTTAACTTTAAGTAATAAGTGATGAAATCAGAATATTTGGGATGACTTCCATGGTTTATTTTTCTTTCTTTTTTTTCTTTTTCTTTTTTACTATAACCTCAAAGTCTCTCAACCAGAGTCAAGTGCAAAAAGAGGATGGAGAAGCTAAATGAACAATGTTGGAAGAAAAAATGGAGCCAATTAATCTACTGCCAATTTACAACACAGGGAATATTTGACAATTTAAAGTGGACTTTTCAGATTTTGGAAGATCCGGACTGTGTAGAGAACTTTATTATATGGATTGATACATTTGATCAATTGATACATACCTCACAAATGGTACAAATAAATTGAAGCCTTTGTGAAATACAGAAAACAGAAACACAGAAAGGAATGAGTCACTTTTTGCATAATTATTCATTCTGGCTCTTGACATTTTCAATAGAGCCAAAAGGCAAGATGACAAAATTGTTGGAGTGAAAGTTAAAAAAAAAAGGAATTTATAAATTAAAGACATTTGCTAATAACTTGGCTTTTGGAGAACCCCTTAAAAGGGATTGATGTATTAATGAAAAAATCTTGGAATTTGATGCATTGATTGGACTTAAAGTTGATAAGGAAAAAAATAAAGAATATAAAGATGGAAGAGCAAAAAGAATTATCTGTAAAAGCTAGATTTCAGAGTGGGGGGGAAAATGAAGTATTTGGCTATTACTATTATCACCATGACTTTATTTCAAAATAATTTTCTTAAGGTATGGAATGAAATTAAATAGAATTTATTAATGTGAGGAAAATGACAATTATTACTGTTGGGAAGAACTTCTGAGGTAAAAATGAATGTGTTAGCTATGTTATTCTTATTTCATACAATTCCTGTTTTGAGAACTGATGTGCCATTTGAACATATCCAGATTTAGAAGGCAGGATAAAAAATCCAAAGGTTAAACATAAGTTTCTCCAACATACAAAGGAAAGATATTATTACTTATGGTGTTGTTGTTGTTATTAATGTAGATTTTAAAAAATCATTATATTAGGGATATAATATTAGGAATATGGAATAGATACAAACCTGGGCTATTCCAGAAAATATCTTTGTTGGCCTCAACTCAATAAGTGTTTTATAGATAAGAAACACCTGGCAAAGATAAATGGTTAACATATAAAGACTTCCTAGGACAGGGGAATAGGGAGATTAAGTTGGAACCAAGAAAACAACTGACTGCACAAGAATTTAGTTTTCAATGGTTCTTATATGCAAATTAAGAGAAAGATTTAACATAGATAAAAAGACTACCAGTAATATGATGTGATGCAATGGAATTTGAAAATGAATTACATACAAAGGATGAACATGTGATTACTAAAATGTAGGGCACTTTTGTTGAGATTTAAAAAAGAAGAACAGCAAATTAAAAGAACGTATGTTAAAAATGGGCCAAGAATTTTGGTGATAATATTCAGATGGATCAATGGGATAAAATGTGGTTAAAAGGCCTGAAGTTCACATTGTCTTACAACTTGGAACAACATTTTTTTAAAATGGTATATTGTAGGTGCATGACATCAGAGAAATTGTCTAACATGCATAAAAGTACATCTAATTATTGTTGGAAATGTGAAAAACATAAGGAGCATTTTTATCATACATGATGGACTTGTGAAAAAGCAAAAACTTGATGTCCCAACGGTGCTTTTTTCACGAGGCAACTGGACTTTGTTTTTTTTCTTTGAAGACGTTTTGCTTCTCATCCAAAAAGCTGCTTCAGCTCTGTCTGGATGGTGTCAGAGCTGAAGAAGCTTCTTGGATGAGAAGCGAAATGTCTTCAAAGAAAAACAAGAAAGTCCAGTTGCCTTGTGAAAAAAGCGCCTTTGGGACAGCCGTGTCCTAGATGACTGAGAATCTCCACAGACAAAAACTTGGTGCAAATATATAAGATAATGCAGAGAGTTCTAAAAATTAACTTTCAGATAAAAGCAGAACTTTTCTGACTAATATTTATGGACAATCAACTAAAAAAGCTCATGAACAATTGGTTTCATATATAACTGCAATGAAGTTATTATAGGTACAAAGATGGAAGTCTATGGAAACACCAGCAGAGGAGGAATGGGTTGTGAAGATGGCTGAGTTTGCAGAAATGGCTAAATTGATTTATTTTGATTAAAGAGGGAACTAGAACTACTTTTATAAAAATAATTGGAAAACCTGTATGGATTTTTGGCTGAAGTTGACTAAATATCTAGTGGTGATTTTGGGATTTATTGATTAAAAAGTATTAAAAAGATTTGTGTTTATAACTGCTGCAAAAAAAGACCAGAAGTCACTTCTTTAAATGCCTTTTTCTTTCCTTCTCATTTTCCTTCACTTTTTCTATTACCCTTTCCTTTTTTCTTTTTCTACCTCATCTTTTATGTTTCTGCAGTTTTTAAAATCTTTGTAAGATATTCTTTCAATAAAAATATTTTTTGCAGATGATTTGGTATTCATTCTAGAGGAACCTTTAGAGACGATTCCTAAACTGTTGGAAAAGATAGAACAATTAGGAGAGATAGCAGGGTTAAAGATAAATAGAGAAAAAACTAAAGTGATAGTTAAATTTTTTTACAGATAAACAAAAAAAAGAAATTATCAGAAAAAATAGAACTGCAAATAGTCAAAAAGATCAAATATTTGGGAATATATTTGACAGCAAGATGTTCAACAATAAAAGAAGATAATTACATTAAATTGTTAAACCAAATAAAGCTTGATTTGGAAAAATGGAAAAATCTTCAACTGTCAATGTTAGGAAGAATTGCTACGGTGAAAATGAATATATTACCAAAAATATTATTTTTATTTCAAGCGATACCTATAAAACTGGAGAAAAAATTCTTTGAACATTTAAACTCTCTAATTCAAAAATTTATCTGGCAAGGAAAGAAAGCTAGAATTAAATTGAAAATGTTACAAGAAGCCAAGGGAAATGGAGGCTTTGGCTTGCCAGATTGGGTTTTATATTATCAAGCATCAATGTTAATACAGATAAAAGAATGGATAACTCTTAAAAATAAAAGATTGCTGTATCTGGAGGGACATGACCTGCAACTTGGTTGGCATGCTTTTCTATGATATGGAAAAAATAAAATACATAAATACTTCCAAAGCCACTACATTAGAAATGCATTATTATTAACTTGGGGGAAAATAAAATGTAAAATTTATTTGAAAATTCCAGAATGGCTTTCAACAATGGAAGCATTCGTACATCCAAATCTAGTCATTCTCGATAAAATATGGACATACAAAGATATTCTAAATTCTGAAGGGAACTTAAAATCCAGGCAAGAGATGGAAAATCAGGGCATCGATTTAACATGGTAGTCACATTTACAAATGCAAGTCAGATAAGATAAAGATATTAAACAGTATGGATTTTACAAAGAACAGACTATGTTTGATCAGACATTATTAACTTCTGATGAAAAGTTAATCAAAAAAATGTACAATTTCTTATTAAATTTCAAAATGGAAAATGAACAAGTAAAAGAGACAATGATAGTATGGGCAAAGAATTTTGGATATAATATAGACTTAGAAAAGTGGCAAAGTTTGTGGGAAAGAAACTATAAATTGACAATGTCAGCTTCATATAAAGAAAACTTATATAAAATGTTTTATAGATGGCATTTGCCACCAACGAGATTAGCAAAAATGTTTAAAAACATGTCAGAGAAATGTTGGAAATGTAAACACAAACCAGGTACTTATTATCATATGTGGTGAACATATGTTAAAGCAAGGAGATATTGGACAATAATCCACACTTGGTTAGAAAAAATGTTAGAGAAACACATAGATTATTAAGCTGAATTTTTTTTACTAGGTATAATGTCAGAAAAACTTGATAAGCAAAGTACATATTTGATTCTACATGTGATAAGAGTGGCAAGAATTATATTTGCACAATATTGGAAGAACGAAGAAATACCACCAAAAAAAGAAATAATCAAAAAAATATTAGATTGTGCAGAAATGGACAGACTTACTTTAAGGTTGAAAGAAAAAGAAGAAACAGAATATTTTCAAACTTGGGACCTATTTTATCAATGGTTAGAGAAAAGATTTAGGGATTAGGAATTTAATTTGTATTAGCGAATAAGATACTCAGATAACACGATTTTGTTGACTAATTATTATTGAACTCTGTTAAAATAATAATAAAACTTAAAAATATATATTTTTTTAAAAAGGGTGGGGGAAAAACCTCACAGGGAATGGGAAGTTGTAGAGATTTGTATTTTAGTTACCAAAGATTAGAAGACCATGCCACATTTTAAACCTGGTTAACAGAATTACACAAAGACCCGGTGAAAGGTAATACACTTCTAAGTAGTAGCTTTGCCATTTGGGTAGTATAGTGAAAGTCTATCAGTAGACTGCAATTTATTTTCTGACTACAAGTTTTACATAAGCATCCTGCTAGTTTCCATTTGTTAAGTAGGATAACACTACACGTAAAGAGGACATAAAGAACTTAAGCAGTGCTGGTAATTATTTAAACTTCCCATTAAGAGTTCTTATGAGTAATTTTTAGGAGAGTAGATTTGTTCACCCAGTCAACATCAGAACAGAAAGCCCATCTGTCTTTTGTTTAGAAACTTATTCATACCCCTAGTGACTCTAGAAACATCCAGATCTGTTTAAAATTACACAGGATGATGTAATCTGATAGTTAAGAGCAACAGCCTAAAAACTCCACTTCAAGACATGACTTAGCTATGAGCTTATTATACAGCCATAAGCCAAAGAGTCATAAGATCAGTATTCATTTACAAGATGGGAAAAATACCAGCACTATTTCTGGGACTCCCTAACGTCACCTATGCAACCACTGTAATGGGTTTTATAAAAAGTACTAATAGTGCATCTTGGAACTGGGCAGATAATTTTGGGCATGCCGATTCAGATGTTCCAAGACTATTGAACCGAACGGCATCAAGGCTGAGTCATCCAACCGACTAGAGAGGTGGAAATGAAGTTCAGATTCTAAAGCCTCAGAGACTGTTTCTTGTTTTCAAGCTCTTGTAATATCAGAGCAAGTGAGCTAATGGCAAGCAAAGGGATTTGGGAGCATTTTGAAAGCTTGGGCATTCTCAAACACGAACTGGATGTTTGGAGCCCACTCCTGACCAATTTGCGGTCTGTTCAAGAAAACTTTGGAGATTCACAAGAAACCCATCCTGCAAGCAGTTGGGTTGTGTATTCATATATATGTAAATATAAGTTGATACAGAAGGCAGCAGACCATCTGAGCTGCTTCACCCAATTGCATTGGTTGGTGGTAGGCTCCGCAGTACAGGAAGAAGTGCTGCTATTAATCTTTACAGTCATACGTGGCATGAGTCCAGGAAACTCTCTTTGAGGGAGATGGGCAATTCAGAAATATGAAAAATAAACAAACAAATACACACACACATATACACACACACACACACACTTCCTCTAAACAGACAAGCACCATCTTGTTTCTGCAGCTTTGGAGGGGATATCATAGGTCTTCCATCTTTGAAAGTTTAAGAAAATGAAAGGTCAGAAGCAGAATAGCCATAGCAATAGCACTTAAGAGTTATATACCGCTCCACGGTGCTTTACAGCACTCTCTGAGCAGCTTAAAATGTCAGCATATTTACCCCAATGGGTCCCCATTTTACCGACCTCAGAAGGATGGAAGGCTGAGTTGCTCAGAATTGAACTCCTGACTGTGGGCAGAGTTTGTTTGCAATACTGCATTCTAACCACTGTGCCACCTTAAAGGATGGTCCTAGTCCTCTGGAATAATTGTACTCACAAGATGGCCCCTGCTTTGTTAGCATTTCAGAATGTGGTGAAGCATTGACCAGCTTTTATGGCTTGAACTCTCTGGAGTATAAAGTTATTTTAAAACTAAGTTTTAAACTATGATTTATGTGTTTAGACAGTAATGTGAGAGGCAGAGCTTGTTGTAAGTGATAGAAATGAATAAATAAAAATTTAAAATAATTACTAGATTTTAGTTAAATTTAATAAAAGCCAGCCATATATTTGCACAAATTATCTATAATAAATTTTTATATCACTTTATAGCTCCAAAGATGTAGAAAAAAGCAGAGAAAATAGGGTCTGTCCTTGCACACAGTCCTAATAGTGGTAATTTTTCTTGTCTATTACCCAAATCTCAATGACTCTGTGGATGCTCCAGAATAATTAGCCACTTTATTGATTATCCAGTTCATTAATCAAATCACTCCATAAATTAAATGTAAAAATAAAGTGTAAAATTCCATTGTTTTGAGGAAGACCATGATTCTTCCCCCTCACTTCTATACACACAAACACACACAGAGAGAGTAGGATTGTAAAACACTATCTCTAAAAGATGCTTTAAAGCACACAGAAGCATGAAGGTAACACCTCTTTGTAACACCTTCATCACATCATTTTTTCATACTTTCCATTAGAGTAACTCCACACCTCCCTGTGGCTGTCTGCAACTTGATTCTTCTCACTGTATTTCAAAATGCTTCCATATCTTCTTTCTTTACATCCACTTTGCATTAATTATCTTGGAGGATTAATTTATCTTGCAGTAGTTTTTCATACACGGCTTCTATTTCCATTTTAGTTTCTTTCACATATTCCTTTTTCTTACCTACTCATTTTTCCCCACAAAACTATCCTGGATTCCTGGAATTATCCGATTATAACTTCTCCCACATTCAGAGCTTATCATACTTTTAAACCTTCACTGATTCTTTTACTATTTCATTATAGATAAGTTATCAGTTCTGCCTTTTGATTAATTCCTTCTTCAGGTGCACATATGAAAAGAGTGTACCTAGGCTTAAGCCATGTTTTAGAAATGGAAATTGAAATAGTCACCATTCACATTCATCCATCTCCAAATAACTGAACTGTTTCTTCTGTGCTTTCTCAACAAGTTCCTCTTTATTCCCCCTAACACAGTGATGGCAAACCTTTTAGAGACCAAGTGCCCAAAAACTGGCCCCGCCCCACCCCCACCCCACCCTGCCTGCCCGCAGGGCCACTCACCGCCTCCAGAGCCCGCCGCAGATTGCCCAGGCAGCCCAGCAGTGCCACAGCGGCCACGCCCTCTGCCCACGCCCCGCAGCATCAACTGTGCGCGTTGGGGCGTGAGGGCAGAGTCTTGTCTATGCTGCCTGGTTGCCATGTCCTTGGCTGCGCTGCTCTGCGTGGGCCACTCTCAGGGGCGACTCTCCTCCAGGGAGGCTGCTGGTGAGGAGGGGGTCGCAGGGGGAGGCAAGGCTGGGGCAACGGCATGTGTGCCCACAGAGAGGGCTCCGAGTGCCACCTCTGGCACCCGTGCCATAGGTTCACCACCACTGCCCTAACAGAATGATGTTCCCTAGAGCATGTTAATTCAGAATGTTGCATTTTTCCAACGTTCATCCTTAGTTCTTCCATTATGTTCTCTGTGCAGCAAAACACAACTTTTACCAATCTGTGGATTCCTATTTTCATACATGCTCCCAAGCACCTAGATGATACAATTTCATACCTTACATAAATTGAAGTCCTTGCTTTTAAAATTAAACCTTCACGTCTTTACATGTATTCACTTTATAAGATTAGGCTAGCTTCATTCATATCTATAAGCTTTCTCCTCTCACTTAGTGTCAGACACTAATACCCTTTTGTCATGCCATTATTCCTCTTATATTTGAAATTGCAGTCTTCCATATGCCATGGTCATTATGTTTTTATTTAATCCAATAAGGCACAAAGCACAAAGGAACCCACTTTTTTCCCCAGCATGCTCATATTATTCTACACAAGCAAGAATCTCTAACTTGGCAATTACTTGCAAGACAACATACCATTGTCCATTTCCCACTAATTAGGCAGAGCATGCAGTATACAAACACGGACTTGGGATGCATTGATTTATTTTAGTAACTTTTGAATCATTTTAATTTAAAGTCACCTTAGATCCCTTTCTCTGTTGTTGGCTGACTTAGAATTAATTATATAAAGAAAGAAAAATAGGAATAAGTTTAGCCATTTAGCTTCCTGACTTATATGGACACTAATCTTTGGTTTTTATCTCTTGATTGATACTTATTATAACTTAACCTGAATCTAGTCTTCAGTAGTTGTTCTCCACCAATTTATGCTTTCAGACTGAGTCTTTAAAATGCCAATCTGTTTCTTTGAAACTCTGAAGATAAAACCTTGATATATGGAATACATAGCATAGCAAAAGAAATGTTGGCAAAGGAGCCAGAATTCACTTTCAGTCCTCATCCATTCTGTCTGGATTCACAAACAACACTAAACAATAATTTAGCACAGGGGTCCCCAACCCCCGGTCTGTGGACCAGTACTGGTCCATGGCATGCCAGCAACCGGTCTGCACAAACAAGCAAAGCCCCATCCGTGGGATGCAGGCAGCACACAAAACCACATACTCTCCAGTCTGTGGGAAAACATTTCTCCACAGAACCGGTCCCTGGTGCCCAAAAGGTTGGGGACCTCTCATTTAGCAAATCATAGTGGTGGATTTGCACATAATGTTGAGCCTTAATACTAAGTAAAAACAACCCACATGGTAACCCTAGTTTAATACTAGAGCTAAGTCAATAGGTTATATGAATACCATAGATCCAGCCCAATAGATCTTCCATTGGAATTTATTCTAGTAATAGGTATGTCCTTATCAAAATTATTAGCTAGTTTCATTGATATATCACTGTTAATGGGACTAGAATACAATAATATGTGCATGAATATAAGCCAGGGATGAGGAACTTACATTCTTGAGAGGTTGTTGGACTTTTACAGGCTAGAAAGTCAAGATCCATTGTCCTTTTTGATTAATCTGTATTTATTCTAGTGTTTCTTAATCTGGGAACTTTAAGATGTGTGGACGTCAACTCCCAGAATTCCCTAGCCAATCATGCTGGCTGGAGAATTCTGGGAGTTGTAGTCCATGCATCTTAACGTTTCCAAGGTTGAGAAACACTAATTTATACTAAAAAAGGGAAATGAATACTTGCTATATTTTCCAGAACAAAAATAGGAGATAACAAGATTCTTCTTCTTTTCACATAACTTTTATTGTCATTAATTTCAATAACCTTCCACTGCCTTAGAAGCCTTTAAAAAATTTGGGAAGCTTGGCATGGCAAAAATTTGCACAAAACCTTAGGGGAAAAGAACCATCTACCAAAATAGATAATGAGGTATTCTGTCATCAAAGAATAACATTTCTTCCAAAATACCAAAAATAAAACTGAGGAATAATTTCTTGGTGGCAAAATAATCAAACCTTAATAAAACATATCAGCAATTTCCTAACATTCAGGAGAAACTATGCATAAGGAATGTCTAAAATTTTTGTTTACATGTGACATGATTTCAGTAATTTGCTGTGTTTGTACAGTGTGCTTTGAAGTTTCATACATATTTAATGGTATGATAACCCACCACCATCCCCAATATTATGTTGTAGATTCTCCTGTTAAAAAAAGATATCTTCCTATGACTTTTCACTCTTTCAAATCTTATTCCCTTGATTAAAAGGCACTTTAAAATACATTTCACTTTGACAGCTTGCTTAAGCTGAATTTAATACAAAATTGCAATCTGTGCTTTAATTCCTAGTGTCCTGAACAAGGAAAAAATGGTGATAGAAGACCCTCACCAAAAAGTATCAAGTTTGAAGTTCTACTTTTCATCAGATTTTTCTGATCATCATATAGGACTTCAACAGAAGCCAACATGGAGGCAAGTAAGGACTTGCAAAATCCTGGAAGAATCTTCCCATTTTGCTCACTTATACCCTGACTACTAAAGCTCTGATCATTAGGTTGACCTGGATAGAAAATTTTGATTTAGCTCAGAAGTCTCCCTAAATGGGTTTTCCCCTAAGACTGGCTACATAAATTGAAGCATTTGAACAGGTCCGTTTTCAATTCTCCTCTCTTCTTCACATACTCAGTGGAGTGATTTCTAATTGTATTTACAACAAAGTTCATCATGGGACAGACAGAAAAATCTTGGTGCAGCTAAAGATTCTGAAGCCCAACGGAGACATTGTCTTTGTTCTTCAGGAGGAATTGCTCGCAGTCTTGAAAAGTGCGATAGAAACTTGAAGACAGGCCAGTTACATTTGTTGTGATATAGGAGAGCACACCTGATGTAGCCTGATGATAGTATGACACCTAGAAACAAACAAAGCTTATCAGCTGATTCTTTGGAATCTTGGGACCATATAAAGTCTATCAATTTCCTTTTCCAACATAAGCATCAAATGGAATGCCAGATCGCTCATTTTCAGGCTTAAACACAAGAACATGCTTGGCTGTCTCTGGAAATTGCAAATGCACTGAAGTGCATGAGCTCAAGAGTGAGCCATTATATTGGCAATGTGGTGGTGATCAAGAAAACAACCCATGTAAGCATCCTGTTATGTGTGAAACACAGCTTGTAACCTATTTTAACTATATATCCTTAATGCATAAATTAACTCTTGCAGTTAAGGATTTCATAGTGGGTGTTAAGTCATAATTAGGCTGAAATGTTTTTGACTGGATATAATATCAACCAATATGAGACCAATGAATAAATCATGGCATGTTTAAGACAATAAAAGTTTGCTGTTGGCTTCTCCATCTCTTAACAGTGTCACTACAGCTTACTAATAGTCATTATTGTTGGTTTAAAATATTTGTAAAGCCTCATGTTGCTCATCTGTAACTTGGAATGATATATACCCATACCAAATGAAGGCTGATTTCTTGATATTATATATTTTCTACATTCGCTTACAGAGAAAAACATTAATTAATAGCATATAGATAACAATAGATCCTAACAATGTCCACATTAAGAATTCATCCCATTAAGAGTGCTCAGAAAGTGTCATGGAATCTGAACAGAATATTTTCCTTACTAAAAAAATATGGAAAGACTACAATGTCTAACCAATCTTATACTGGATAGCAGAAGAATAAAAATAAAAACTGGAAGAGGTAAAACACACGGATAGAAAGGAAATCCCAAAGTAGTTCATTATTTAAGAGAGTTCACTCTATGAAAAAATATGCTAGGGAGTTGAACTGAAATTCTTACACAAGTTGCAATCCAGAGCAGAGACATGAGTTCAGAGATTTGTTGGCTCAGAGCCTCCATCCGCTCCTCACCAAAAATTTCACGTCCAGATACCTTACAACCCCTGCTATAAATAATAAAAAAGCTATGATTTCCAAACAGCAGCTTGGAGGCTAGCACAAACTGTAGTTGGTGTGAATTTGATGTTGTAGAAAGCCAGAATTAGACCAACTGGGAGTGTGAAAGGGAACTGTTTTGCAAGTATGAACAATTTCACAATTGTTGTCTACTTCTAAGGCAAATGTTTACCTTGGTAAGTTCGTCTGTTTCTTGCCAAAAACAAAAGCCAGAACATAAAGTCTCTGCACGGGTATACTCTGGCTTTGCAGGGTGTGTTGGCAATGTAACTGATCTGAATGCTAAAACATAGGGATCCCTGAAAAAAAGAAAAAAGAAAAGAAAATGTGGTCAGAGCAAGCAAGGACCATCAATGCAACCTTATTCCACTTATCAAGTACTCTGGAACCTGACACTTTAAAAAAAAACTTTAGCTTGGAACTAGCGTAACTTCTATAGGTGTGTGGGCACAAAACTTTGGTTTGGAGAATTCCTGGCAATTCAACTGAATCTTAGATTGAATCAACTTTTCAAAAAATATTTGACAATGTAGACTAAACTGTTGAGCAGAATAAAACTTGGATGGAATTTTGCCCATGAGCAGCAGTCTTTGTTTTCCCACTCCTAAAAGTGAAAGAGGCCATTCAAACTGCAATGTCCAAGAATCAAATTGCTTCTCCGTTGATTTTTAAAAATTCAAATCAAATTGGAGCTAATTCATAGACTTCGATATGTACAATATTGAAGCCAAAGGTAATTCCAGCCTTCCCAGCCTGGTGCCCCCAGATGAATTTCGGACAATACCCAATTGCGAATTCTGAAAGCTTTCGTCCAAATTCATTTAAAAGAATGCCATTAAAAACTGGGCTTTTGAGGAATGCCTAGCTAACATACCCTGTGCCACAAGGTTTTCTTTGCGATACCAGGACAACAAAGTCCAAAGGCTTGTTTTCTTCACTGACAGTATGACTAATTACATGATAAATCATGTCATCCTTGTCAACTTGCTGGACAAGTTCACAGCTCCTGCAAAAACAATGCACACATATGAAATGTACATATTAACTCCAGGTACAATGTTTCTACTTTTTGTTCCTTTGAAGGTTGAAAAATATGGGTGTTTATTAAGCTGTAACCACCACCAGGAAGACAGCAATAATTTTTATTCTTGCCTTCTAATGACTAAAAACTACTAGTCTAACCCCAAAGGGAAAAAAAAAGTTTTTAGAATTATTGGTGCAATAATCATCAACTTAAGACCTGCATTTTTGGACTGGCACAAAACATTAAGTCAGAAATTAATTAAATGGCCTGTGTTCACACAACATGCCCATTCACAACAAAGCAATATTTCAGCTAAACAAACTTGACACGCTGCATAAATGCAACCGGTAGGTTTGTAATTGGCTTCATTTAGTATGTGGTATGAATACCGCCGGTATGAATGGGATGTGACCTGTGTTAGGATTCTGCCAAATGCAAAAAACTACTAGAACTAACTGTAAGGCACTTTATCTGGATTATGAGAAACTCAAGATTTTTGCTGCTATTATTAATTGTCATTTCTATATATCTGTGCAGAAATTTCCAAAATAAAAAAAAATGAAGTCATAATCTCTAATTTAAAAAAAAGAAAGATTTTCCAAAGTACTTACGCACAATGTCTGTCCCACTCGGGTCTGTTTCGTAGATTGGACAGCAACAAGAAGGCTTGCAGCACATTAAAGCGGATGGTCATCTCAATTCGGACAGAGAGAAACTTGTCCTCTTCCAGAACGTACATCTTGAACTTAAAACGACCGAGTTCAACATGTTACCACAGAGTGCATTGCGAGTGTGAAAATATGCAATCATTGTTTTATGAAATGGATAAAATAAGTGACAAAAACAAAAGCATCATATGAATTCAATGAAGACCAGCATTATTTCTCAAATAATGTCCCCTTCAAGGAATTCATCTCATCAGTATAAGATGCATTAGAGGAAGAACATTTGAGAATCACTAGAATATCCTCAACAGCTACGTATTGTCATCATGATTATTTAAAATACTCAGCCTTAAAGCACTGCTGCCTGACCAGTTGCTGTCAGGGCACCTCCATAATATCCACCACCATTTGTCCTTTTTTCTCTGTCACTATTTAAATCAGGATATACACCTATAGCAGTGTTTCTCAACCTTGGCAACTTTACGATGTGTGGACTTCAACTCCCAAAATTCTCCAGCTAGCAACACTAGCTGGAGAATTCTGGGAGTTGAAGTCCACACATCGTAAAGTTGCCAAGGTTGAGAAACACTGACCTATAGGGATTTGAATCATTGCCTGAACACAGTCCTGAAGTGGAATGCAGTTAGAAATGTTAGCAACTACTGCTACAAATGTGCAGCTGATATTTCTCCACCTTATTGAAAATTAATGGTTTGTATTGTTAAGGACATCACTTCTACTCAACGTGAATTTGTTTTTTAAAAATAGAAAGAGGATTGGCTGTAGATACCCTGAGGCATCTTACACATGCAAGCACCACTCAGAATCTTTTAGAGTCAAAAATGTCCTTGTGTCTCTGGAAAGGAAAGTTCATTTGGGGCCTTTCCTTGTAGCTGTGCTGATGTGCGATCCACCCATCTGTCACTTGGCAGAGAAGTGTTACACAGCTAAGATGGGGAACAAGCTCAAAGGAGTGGTCAAAGCACTAAAAAAAGTAAAGTTCTTCTATCTCCTCTTCTGCCATTCAGCAATCCCTAGGCATTAGCTACATGAAGTGGTATCTCCAACAATAAAAGGGGATGACGATGATCTTACTGATGAAAATAATCCTACGTTCTGATTGATTATTGGGAGATACTAAAGCAAAGCTAACTGCTATATGTAGTAGTGGGATACGAGAATAAAAAATCAGCCTGAAATACCAAAACAATAAACAGAAAAATTACAATACTAAATGTTTCATAATGTTATCCAAGAGGATCAGTAATGTTAACATTCTATTATTTTCAGCTACTCAAAGATCACAGTATACCAGTTAATTCAACTTAGCAATCAAAATTTTTAGAAGGCATTATCTCCCACAATGGTGTTGTCATCTGGGCAATGGTCAACTAGGGTGGGAGGGGGACAAGGAACCCACTGCTTTATAGGTGTTTTGATTTTAATTCCAATCAGGTTTTGCCAATACAGTCCATAGCAAGAGTGGGCAGAAGTGGTGATCCAAACAATCTAGAGCAGGGGTGCCCAACCCCCGATCCGTGGACTGGCACCTGGCCCCATCATGCCAAAAACCGGGCCGTGCAAACAAGTGAAACCTCATCCACGGGATACAGGCAGCATGCGAAACCATGCCCCCTCCGGTCCATGGAAAAAACTTTCTCCGTGGAACCGGTCCCTGGTACCCAAAAGGTTGGGGGCCACTGATCTAGAGGGATCAGATTGCCTTTCCTTAAAGGTGGATAACTTTCCTCAGGCTGATATCTTCAATCCCCAAAATACAATCAAAATGAGAATTTGGGTGGCTGTAATTTCAAGACACCTGAAAGACACCCAATTGGGGAAAAGTGATCCATGATGATATTCTGTGCAGGGGAAGTGCTGCTTGGAGAGGCTTGATAACCTGGACACATGGTCATAAATTGGGCCACTTGGGCTGGAGATGGGTTAGTTACCTTGTCTCTTTCAGATGCAAGTACCCAGTTGGCTTTAGCTACCAATGTCTTCAGTGCAGTAACGTTGTTATAACTCAGATAAACCTGCATTGGGTATATATTTAAAAAAATACAATGAAGTCGAGTTTTCTGCTGGCTTTTCTTTAATATATTGAGCAATGCTATAACCTTCTCCAATGTCTTCCACTCATCAGTGCTTTGACCTGTATGAAATCAGTGGACCATGGGCGTAACTGTGCAGCTTAATGAAAGCACTAAATACCTGTCAAGTGCTCTAGAAATAAGATATGACTGCATTTTTTTGGAACAGCTGCCTGGGAGTTTTGCGGTTCTAAAAATCACAGAAAGCATCAGTGGAAATTTGCCAGTGTCCTAAGTTTCTAAAAGCAAGGTGTAAAACTAAAGTTATCTCTGCAATAATAAACCAGTGGGAAATAAGTAAACTCTTTACTTCTGAATGTTTGGTTTTTCAGACATACGAACAAAGTTGGGCCTGAAGAGATGCTCCACTCAGTTTCATTCTGCATACCGTAATGCCATTTCTGAGATAGCAGAAAAGACATTTATTTATCTTGGTTCATAAATAACAGTATCTATGCCAGATAACTGTTGAATGGAGCTCATTCTTCTGGACTTGAACATTTTATTGTCCATAGTGCAAGACTTATCTTGAGACCCCCCCTACAAAAACATGCTGTCTATAGAGTGTTTTGAAGATGTCATCCCATCAGCTCCAAGTCCCATCAGGTTGCGCACAAAAGAGGCTAAGCAACAAAATATCCATAAGAATTTGAAGTTGAGGCTTCAAAGGGAGAAGAAGAGACGTTTGGATCACTGTAGTGTTTGAAAGGAATGGAATGAAATGAAATCCCCGGTCAGAGAAGCAGATGGAAACTTACCTTGTTACTCTGGTCCCAAGGCACAGATAAAGGTACTTCAGTATATTTGCAGGACACAACATATTTTCTGTAAAAAGCAAATGTAACATATTAATCTAACATGAGTAGGACAAAACATATTAAGAACAGTTTCTCTTACACATGGAAAACAGCAAACATGTTTTGAATATCACTTTCCCCAAAACAATATGTAAGAAACGACGTATTTCTTTTAGGGAACATAAGGCAAGTTAAGCAAGCCACACTGGTATACTGGTTAAAGAAACCAAGCTAGAAACTGGGAGACCATGAGTTTTAGTTTTGCCTTAGGAACAAAGGTGACTGTGGGCCGGTCACTTTCTCTCAGCCCTAGGAAAGAGGCAACTGCAAACCACTTCTGAAAACCTTGCCAAGAAAACTGAAGAACATATCTAGGTAGTCTATAGGAGTCAAGACTGACTCAAAGAAACACAAACACATCCATCCACACACATATACACACACAGAGAGACAAGTTAAGACCTCATATGGCAAAAGGACACCCACTTTTAACTCTAACACAGAGCTCCAATGCAGAAGGGAAATATTGTATTGTCTAATTAAATATACTCCTTCACTGTGATAGAATGTACATGGTCTATAAAGTTTTTGGTAGATTCTTCAAAGCAGTTAGATATAGGCAGAGACCTAGGGTCACTCTGTTTCAGCCTTACTCTAGCTTATGCCATAAATTCTACTGCCTTTTCTCATGAATTATCAAAAGGCCCACACTTGCACGAGGGATTATAGATTCTGTCATCTCTCCCCAGTCTATTGCATATTTTGGCACTAAAGATACATCATTCTAGAATCCTGCCCAAGAAGCAATCTTGCAGTTTATACACTGGTTTCCAAAGAAAGCTGACACCAGTTTAAAGACACTCAACTCTTGTCAGCTGGAAAAGCAACCCTGGAGATTTTCCAGCCTTCTGAGCAACTGTGCTTATAGATATATGCAAATATATGCATCAGCCAGAGGCCAGGTGCCAGACAAATCTGAGGCCAGGAGAAAAAGTTAAATTAGTAAACGATGACTATTGATTAAATACAACGGCATCCATTCGTAGAATTCATATCCATCTGTGTACATGTACACAAACTATTAGCTAACAGACAAATGCATAAGTACAAACATATTCACGGAGAGAAAGAGAAACTGGAAATCTAGACTCAGAAAGCATAAACGTATGAATGCTTATTTGATAGAAAGTCCCCTAATATTTAATTACTCTTATGCTCAGTTAAGAACACACAGACTGCTTCTATGCTGCAAATGGATCTATTTACCTCAGTTTACTTTATGTACATTTGGGGAGGTGGAGTGCCAAACTGGTAAGAGATCTTTAGCATATCAAGCTGTGTTTTCTTTTTGTTTGCAGAAAGAAAATAAATAAATGCCTTTATACAGGTAGGCCTTGACTTACCACCACAACTGAGCCCAAAAGTTCTGTTGTTAAGTGGGACATTTGTTCAATGGGTTTTGCCCCATTTTACAACTTTTCTTGACCCGTTTCTTAAGTGAACCACTGCGGTTGTTAAGTTACTAAATGAACTGTTGTACGTTGAGGACTGCCTGTATTGGGCTGCAAGCAAAAGGATGCTTACTCTGCAACAAGTCCCACTTCTAGATGCTTAGAAGTCCTCTCGGCAGGTATGCTTGTCCTATCAAACTTTTGAGGATCCTGGTTTTCCAAAATGTTCATGGCAGTAACTCTACCCCAAAGGTAGATTCCCTCTTGGAAACTCACACTTTCTGTGCACGGAGGATGGCAAGAGAAATGCAAAAGCTAAGACAGGAGCTCCCGTCTTTCTTTTAGTCACTGACTGCACCTCACAATTTCCAATCTTCTTCCAAATATCCTCCTCTATTGCCACATCCTCAGCAAATATAAGTTAAACCCCCCCTCCCCCCCAACACTTACAGATTTGAATGAAATGTTTCATTTTCCTTTCGGATAAATAAAAGTCTTCATTTGGGGTTACTTTCAGGAAAGGTTTACGGCATGCAAACACTAATGAAAGTCCATTTTGGGAATTAGAAGCAAAAGGAAAGAGGCTGCCTGCTGTGTGACTCAGTGCAGGAGCCCAGCAAAAACCTTGGACTCCAGGAACACAAAGTCACAACAGGTTCCTATGAACTGCTCAACTATCAAGCCTTTACAATCTCGTTCTCAGGGTCTTAGATAAAGAAATGTGGATAAGGAGAAATCTGGCAGATAACAGGTATTTATCACCTTCAAAAAGAGCAATGGTAAATAACCAAGTTCAACTTTGCAAAGCACATCAACTAGAATAGATACTTTTTAAACTAAAGATGTTAAAAAGACAGGAAGAGACAGGATAAAGTTCACAGGCAAGTTAAACAAAAAGATTGAGGTATGTGTGTAAGCTGAGTGCATCCCTCCAGAGATACTGGTTCTTAAGAAATAATTATATATTACTTTCTGTTCCAATAGAGAAAGTGTTATTTATGAGTAAGAAGATCTCAAAGTTATAGAAAATGCCTATGTGTATGTGTTCCATAGCAGGTAGAGGTATGGATGACACAGTTCAGGCATTAATACACTGCCACTCACACAGCAAACACTCACTGTGTCTCTCACAAGGGCTATATATTTCATTTATAAAGCACTATTGTCCTCTTTCCCACATAGTGGCTATAGGAGAAAGACTAGGAGAGCCTTCATAACGATCATATATCTACGTCCATTTACTGAATACTTCTTATGGTGATTTACTTTATCAGGGAAACCCCTTTGGGGAAATGAAGTTCATACGCTTGAAAGTTGCCATGGTTGAGAAATCCTGCTCTAGAGCAGTGGTTCTCAACCTTTTTAATGCCGCGACCCCAACCGGTCGTAAGTCGAGGACTAAACCGGTCGTAAGTCGAGGACTAAACCGGTCGTAAGTCGAGGACTACCCAACCGGTCGTAAGTCGAGGACTTTCCCTGCCCGGGAGCGCCGCACATGCGTGGTTCTGCCCCGTGCGCCGGCCGAGGCGTAGCTGGCAAACGGCAGAGATGGAGCAGGCCGACCACCAGCTGGCCCAGCCCAAGGGAGGTAAGGCACCCACCGGAAAAGGGGAAAAAAATGGTGGACAAAAAAAATGGCGGACAGCCTTGCTTGGCGACCCCCATGAAATGGTCGATCGACCCCAAATGGGGTCCCGACCCACAGGTTGAGAACCACTGCTCTAGAGTATGGTAGTTTGCCTCTGGGAAATGGGTTTTTGGGACTAGTCATTGAAGCCATAGAGTTGGCCAGTGGTCCCAAGGCTGTGATGTAACAGTGAAGACACTGAACTTAGGAGACCCAAGTTCTAGGTCACCTTCCATTATGAAAGCCCACTGAGTGACTTTGGGCCAGTCACCCTTTCTCAATCCAAAATATTACATGGATTTTTTTCCTTGTGGAAGAAAAGGTGAGGAGGAAAACCTATGTATGTCCATTTATACTCCTGAAGGAAAGCAGAATTTACCTCCACAAACCATAAATAAATCTCCTGAGAATGCCCATGATATTATCTCAGGCTTCTGTCTGTAGATCCTTAGCAACTTCCAAAGACAGCAGATCCTCTGACTTCCTACATTTAAATTTTGCCTATCTAGACCTCTGACTCCTCCGAACAAATACTGATTTCGGTCTAAGTGAAATATTAACGGCCTCCTTCCTTATCCAGACACTCCAGATATTCAGGCAAACAATTAAGATAAAGGATGCTTTAGATTATTTTTACGGTTCATTCTGCAGCAGTTTCCCCCATAGGTTGAATACCTGGAATTCACAAGCTGGCGAGTGACAGAGACAAATGATTAAGCCAGAGAGATGTCAAAAGAGAGAGAATTCTCAAGCTGAAGAAGGCTGTGAACCCTTAACGTAGAGCATCCTATTTAATATAGCAGTGCCTGTTATGTTCTCCCTGTGTATGTGTTCTCTAGCTCTTCCTAGCCTGCCTTTTCTCACTGCTCACGTGAAGATGTCACTAATCAGGTATTAATGCCTCAAGAACAGTGGCCTCCAGGATAATGCAGGCTGTCTCCATCCATGTTCCCAGATAAATTATATATGAGAGATAACAAACAGAAAGGCTATAAATACACCGTGAAAGCTTTGTGACATAACAAGAGGCAAATGGGAAGGGGTTGTAAGGTAACCATAAGGCAGAACTGGAAGCAGGCAGAAATAAAGAGCTTAGAAAGAGGAATCCGTTTTATAAGTAATGTTGCCAGCAGAATAAAAATCTAAAACAGAGAGATGAGCAAAGAGGAGGAAAACACGGATCATCTGTGTTCTTCCTATCAGAATAATTTAGGTTAGAGAAATTCCAATACATATATATTGAAATCTTTGCCTGCAATTCTCTTCCTGGTTTTTTGGTTCAGTGGAGGTTTTTTTTCCGACTGAAACATCGTAGTGTAATTAATGCTCAATATAGCTTCTTAGGTGTTTTACATATAAATATGTTTACATGTCTTTTTAAAGAAAACATGTGTCTGGACCTTATTCCTTATACAAATATATTTGCAGGCACACAAACTGTGTTCACAAAAAAGCTGCAGCAGCACAAAATCTGAAGCATGCTTTGAGATGGGCAACAGACTGGTCCCTTCCAAGGAAGAAGGGGGGAAAAAAACCATAGAAAATCCTCAATTTAACAGACATTTGCTTTTCCTGCTCACCATTCAAACGTTTGAAGCCACAGTAGCAGCAGGGAAGCCAACCCACTAACAAGTGGAAAAAGCAATATGCTAAGAATACCAATGTAAGTGCAGAAGACAGAGCTCTATTGCATGCACGGAAGAAATAATACTAATAACATACAACAAAGCAAAAACTGTCTGGACTATTTTGGGAATAACAAACAAACGTTAATTGCGGGCAGCATCCAAATGAAATATCCAACCAAGGCACCCAAAGTCCACTAAATCGAAATGTAAGCAGAAAAGCAAAAAACACAAAAATCTCTGTCTCCTGTGGAATACGCACAAAGCGAGGCTGCTAATCATTAAAGTAGCCCCAATTATTTTCAGGAGTATGGGTGAGCCTGTAAAAAAAACAAAAAACCTACCCTTGTTTTAAAGAATCCACTCAGATGACCCTTAAAGCCGCAACCCCTTTTTGTCAGGCTCGGCCGAAGTCTGAAAAAAACCAGTCTCCTTGAAGGAAGAGCAGCCAAGTCCTGTTTGTACTAGGTCTCAAGTTCTTCTTCCAAATCATTTGCACAGCTCTAACATTCAGCCTCCACTTCCCTGGATGGGGATGGGGGGTGTTAACCCACTGGCAAGTCTGAGTATGAAACCTATAGATCAGTGGTGGCGAACCTATGGCACGGGTGCCAGAGGCAGCACTCAGGGCCCTCTCTGTGGGGACGCGCGCCGTCGCCCGTCCTAGGCCTTCAGCTGGGTTTTATAAAACGTTTTCGCTTTAGGCCTCCGTCGCCGTGTACAAAAAAAAAAAAGGTTCAATCAATCAGTCAATTTCAACTTCTCGCGGAAAAAAAAAGATCTCGCAAAGTTGGAATTGATTGATTGAACTTTTTAGTCCCGCCCAGTCTGCCGTTACCGTAGCCACGCCTGCCCAATGGGCCACACCCAGCCAATGGGCCACGCCCACCCAGCACCCGACGATGCATAAGTGGGTTTTGGGTTGCAGTTTGGGCACTCGGTCTCTAAAAGGTTCGCCATCACTGCTATAGATAAAAAGATTTAGTTATGCACAAACCATTTTCTCCTCCTAAATATGGTCATAATTCTATCCTACGAATGTGCAACAGGAAAAAAAACCCATATATGCAGTAATTAAAATTCTACACTCTTCCCTTTCACTTAACAGCCGTAGAGCTGTAGGGAAGGAAAAGAGTGCTGAAAGAGTAAGAAAATGTTTTACCAACCTGTCTAGTCTAATTTTTTGCCTCGCGCTAGCTTCTTTAAACCGTCTTTCTCCATCCTGTTAAAGGGAAATAAAACGAACGGATTACATTATGCACACTGCCTCCTCAGGTCCCCCTTTTGCCTCTGTAATCAAGTCCCTCCACCTTACCGCTGGTTGTCTCTTCTTCCTTTTCTTCTCGTTCACCTTTCCCAGCATTATGGATTCTGCAAGGAAGCTGGATCTAGGCACAGTACGCCCCCTCACTTGACTCTTCTGTTTAATTAAAGCCTGACTATGTTCCTGTCTATTCAAAACCACAGCAATAGTCAGGTGAGAGAATCTAGAGAGGCTTTGTGGATGGCTCTTCTACGTTACTCACTCAGATTGGCACTGTTTTACTAAGGACCCAATTCAGTAAATATTGGTTGGGATCTGTAATCAAACGTATTCAGTGTCAGCAGGTCCCTTTTTTAAAATACTTTATTCTCTTTCCCTTTCAGCCTGTGGGATCCTTGGTACTCTCTGAGTTTGGTGGTTTCCTTGCAGATGTTCCATTACTGAACTAGGTAACATCATCAACATGCATGACCCACAGTTCAATCCTGAGTTATAAAATATTCTCTTCTATTGGTCCCTTTCAGTCTTTATATCTTTTTTTTTTTTTAGTAAATTCTTCACAATTGGTCTTCCCAATTCTGCAAATACCTTTCTACTATGCAACATTGCTTCCAAGTGAACATTGCAAATACAGCCATCCTACTGGAGGCAGACTAGAGCATGCTTGCCTTGGGGAAGACAATTCTTGACAGATAACAAATACAGCCAACAGTAGAAGACTCCAAAGGAAAAAACACAGCCATACATAAAAAAATATCCTACTAGCTAATCAAGGCTGCTTCTACATGGGACATTTATTGCTATTTTCCACATTTAGTTAGATTCATCTCACTATGTCCCACTTACAGCATCAACTCTCTCTATATATTCACTTTTGTGCAAAGCAAAATAATAAGAAAGGAAAAACATATGACATATAGGCTGTGATTCAGCTTAATTTAGTTATGGGTTCTCGAATTAACTAAACTGCCTGGATTTGCACACTGAGTGAGCAAAAGTACCAGCCAACCACATTTAGGACTAACATGTTGAAATAACAGCTTGTTTTAAATCTAAATCTAGAAATAGAAGAAGATCTAGGATTGTATGTCTACTATGCAAATGAAACTTTAGCTTAGTAATATTTAAATCTTCTTAGGGCACAAGCTACTCTTAGTCTTCAAGTACCATGGCAAGAACTACATTTCACCAAACAAGTGCAACAAAAATAATTAAATATAGTTAAATACTTCATATATATAGGTAGTTCCAGACTTTTGACTACAATTCAGCCCAAAATTTCTGTTGCTAAGTGAGACATTTATTATGTGAGTTTTGCCCCACTTTACAACTTTTCTTGCCACAGTTGTTAAGTGAATCACTGTGGTTGTTAAGTTAGTAACATGGTTGTTAAGTGAATCCGGCTTTCCCATCGACTTACTTGGCAGAAGATTGCAAAAGTGATCATATGACCCCAGAATACTGCAACCATTATAAATATGATTCAGTTGCCAAACCTCTGAATTGACCATGGAAATGCTGAAATGGTCATAAGTGTGAAAAATACTCATAAGTCACATCTTTTTCAGTGTTTTTATAACTTTGAACAGTCACTAAATGAACTGCTGTCGAATAGTTTTCCTTTCTATCATATTAAAAGTCACAGTTCAATGACATCTTTTATTTTAAGAGAGTTCCGTGGCCCCACCCAAAACTTGGGGTAGAGAATGTGCATTCCTACTTTAAGTCACAATTCTCATTCCTTTTTCTCCATGTGCATCATGTTTTTTTAAGGTGGTTCCCAAACTGGAAATTGGATTTGCACTGCAAATGTCCTTCAGTCATATACCATTCTGGGCTACCAGTGTAATGTCAAAGCCGTGCAACGTCATTTTCATTTCCTTACCCCTGGTTCTGGCTTCAGCATTGGAAGTGTACGTGGCTGACCATCTTCATTGAGGACTACAAAAATCATGAAAGCACTATTTATATGTCTTCGGCTGACTTCCATTTCATGTCGATAGGCCTCGACACACACCCCAACCTCCATGCTGTAATCAAGAACAACATTTTAAAATGAGCAAACAAGTAAATGAACGCACAAATCTGCCGAGATCACACTGGGAACGATATTATGACCAGTTGGAATGAATTCTAGCCCATGTTGATTAACCATTTCTTTGAATTAATTTCAAAACACTTTCTAAAGAAGACATGATGTCTTATTATATCTTTTATGTGCTTATTTATGTGCTTATCTCTTTATTTATTTTAATGAAGTCAAGTCAGCAGATTTTAGAAGTTATCCATTAACGAAATAAAATGGCTTGTGGCTTTCCGGATATTGGCAAACTACAATGTTCTATATTGGGATTGCCTGGAGTTGTAGCTAATAAGAGTAAGCGGGGGGGAATAAATGCCCCATTTCTTACAACCCTCTTCCAACCTTCCTCTTCATTGTTTTTTCATTCATTAGAGTAGATCGTGAAATGGTTTAATTTATACGACTCCATAAAATTTCTACTGACTTCCGGACCAAATCCACTTAGCTCTAGAAGGATGGCGGGAAGACATACCTGTACTTAAATGCATTGTTAACAATGGCCTTGAACAGAAGGCGGTCCCCAATTTGGGATGGTCCCCTGAAATGGAACATTTCAATGGTCTTCAGGGTGGGATAGGCATTGCACAATCGGCTAGAAGAACATAGAAAAACAGAATCTAGTTTGATCACATTAAAAAAACATCATCCGTTACCTGTAATGCATGTACTGTTTGCCAATCAGCAACAGATCAGATAGAAGTTACGAAATAACCCAAGTTTACTGTTATACTACAAGTGCCAAACTATGCCCGAGCTGGATTTCCACTGGCCTGTTGACAGAAAGGCTATTTGCCAGTTCAAGAGGACCTCCGGGTGTCCCAGCAATAAGAGAACATGGGAAAGCAGCAAAGGACAGACTGAATTTCCCTTTTCCTTCTTTTCCACATAATGACCATCCAAATTCCCAGAATTAATGGAGACACAGTGCCACCTAAAGGAAAACAGCTAGCTCATCGCTAATAAAAAATGAAAGACAATCTGGCAGCTTCAGAGGTTCAGGAAAAAGGGAATAAAGAAGAATGCATGCTAAGAGGTATGTTAGTCAGTGTGGAAGGGAGTGAATTTCTATAGCAGCTGGGCTGTGGTAGCTTCTACTTTCAATCACAAGAAGGACAAAAATTAGCTTTGGAAGTAGAAAAATCAGCATCTCTCGAGAGGGGATGTTTCCTGCTGTCCCAATAAAATTCCAATGTATCTCTAGTTAGCAGGATCACACTTAAAAATATCTCTGCCTTGATCTGATAACAACTAAGGAAAATCTAATAGCCAAATCACAAAGGTGCATCGCCATTATCCTTGGGAATTAACCTCTTGCCTTCATTAGCTTCAAAGAAACTGCAGAAATAGAAGAGAGCAGAACTGCAATTCCAGGTGCATGGTTAAGCGCCAAACAAAAGGAGGGGAAGTGAAAACCAAACAAATACATTCAAGTTACACTATGGATTAGAGCAGCGGTTCTCAACCTGTGGGTCGCGACCCCATTTGGGGTCGCACGACCATTTCACAGGGGTCGCCAAACAACGCCGTCCGCCATTTTTTTTTACCCTTTTCCTTAGCTGTGCTACTCCCTCTGCTTGGCGGCAGCCTGCATGCAGGAACTTTACCAAACATGCCCTGCAGGAGGCGTGTGAAGAGCGCAGG